GCCAAGTGGGGCCCTCACTGGAGCAGCCACTTTCTGTAAGGCTCCTTTGTAAGGAGGCTTGGTGAAAGATGCCTGAGAGCAGGAAGGAGCAAATGTTCCTTGTGGCTCTGGCTTTTCCTGGCCAAAAACCGTAGGCATGTTTACAGAATGAGGCTTGAGGGAGTTTCTGTGTGGTAGAAGGGGCAAAGCGATAATAAGGGTCAAACAACCTCACTCACACAGCACCAGCCATGTGCCAGGCACTGTTCTAAGCCCTCTCATTGATTAACACACTTAACAATCTTCTCATCTGATGATAAGAAAGTCCACAAAGAAAGGTAGTGGGAAGGATATTTTTTTGCTTCAAGATGTTCTTGAATCCTTACTAATTCAGCCTACCTCCTCCACCATCACCTGCACCCTCTACTCAGCCCCCAGCCCCACGGGAGGAGAGGCCTTGGGAGGCACTGCAGCCTGCAGCCCAGGAGGAAGAGGGTGGGGACGAAGTTCCCTGGGGAGTGTCCTCCCAGGTTCTCAGACCCAGAAATGTGCAGGTGGGAGAGGGCAGGATCTCACTCAGCCCCAAGGCTGGTTGCACAACCACACAACATGGCTTTAAAGGTCCTAGCATTATCACAGGGAAAATAATCATTTTTATTACATTGCGGTAAGTCTGTAATCTCAAATTATTTTCAGGTTCACATGGAACATTTACCAAAGCACCCCCACTGGAGTCAATGGCAAAACCCCTATTTTTCATAAAGGAAAACCAAGGCAGAGCCCAAGGTCACAAGAAAGCAGAGTCAGAATTATAATACAGACAATGTCCTAAAACCCAGTTCTGACCTTAAATGCAATATCTGAGCCTATTTTTCCTATCATTTTTTAATAAAATCTAATATTCACACACTACCCTGCCCACAGCCATAACATCCCACAGCCAAATTAGACTTAGGACACCTGCTCCATCTCAGCATCAAAATGAGCCACCCAAACTGGAAAACCCCTGCCTTCTACCTCCAAATAGTGAAATACCCACTGCTGAACTTCCCAGAGAACCTTAACTCCCTGAGATGGAGGGCAATCCTTTTCCTTCCTACCCCAGTGTAAGAATGCTATAAAGTCTGTTAGCCTATTCTTCAAAAACATCTCACCCCTTGAAAGGAAGAAAGGCTAGAAGTGTTTTCTAGGAGAACAAAGTAGAGCAGTGTTACTTTAAACTCTTCAGACAATGACCCACCAGTAAGCATATATTTCACAATGGAATGAACACACATAAAGAGTATGTTTATATCTCTGAAACAAAAATATTTTTGCAATGTGTGCTGTTTTGAGGATCTATGATATTAATTCTGATCCTTTTCTATTTAATTCTATTCTATTTAATTTGGTTTTTAAAGGCTGGTCCTGACCTACTAAATTGATTTCTCACTTACTAAAGGATCATAATCCACAGTATGAAAATCTCTGAGTGAAGCAGAAGGCCCAGAGCTCACCCCTGGGGCCAGAACAACACGTTCTTTCCAGACCTGGCTCCTCCTGCCACCTCCAAGCCTGAAACATTAGCTGCCAATTGCATGGACAACAATTTGGGCAGCTCTGAATCACAGCTGTGGGCAAGCATCCAGCACATAGACACCGAGGATGGTTCAGAGCGTCAGGTGGCTGTCAGCAAGGGCTCAAGAGACTCTGAAGGTGCAAAGCACCTTTAAAAATCAGGGCTTCTCCTCACTCCAATGCAGGCTTTCTCTGGTTGCCTATATTCCCCACTCTTTCAGGAGAACCTTGTACCCTAGTTCTCTGAAGTTGTCTTTTTGTCCTTTGTGCCTTCCCCTAAAGCCCTTTCTACTTAAGTGTGTCTTCCTAAGCCCATCCAAGGGGGCCCGACTTTTGCTTGCTTCACCAGGACTTCATGGTGTTCCAGTAAATTCTAATTTACCATCACAGCCTTCACACTCACCGCTTTTCCCAAACATCTTCCACAACCCCCACCCTGGCAAAGACTTCCACAAGAGGATTACAGCCAGTCTAAAATACACCAGTCACACTAAGTTTTCCAGGACAGGGTTCTGCCATGAGTCTGGAGAGACGGAAGGGGGAGGATTATAGAGAAAACTACAGAGTAAGAAGAGACAGTTTCTGCTCTTAGACTTGTGGGGGAGAGAAGAGACCCTCTGTTCAACACTTAATAATAAACATTACCCAACTCACTCTCTGTGCAAAGCCGGAAAGTGTCAAGTCTTCTGGGGAGAAAAGACCAACGGAGTGATTCTCAAACTCACTCTGCTAGTGGCACCCCAAAGACTGATGTTCTATGAGGAACTGCTTGAACTGCTAACCCATTCTAATAAAATAAAGCACTAATTTTGTGCTAAGACTCAGAGAACACTTCATGTTAGATTCTTGAGCAGCTAAGTAGCAGCAGATAACAATTTTTAAGATAGCAATCATGGAAGAAAACTTCATAGTTGAGAAAATTCCATCGAATTAACCTAGTCATCTCTGTACATTAGGAAGACACCAGCCATCATCCAGTGTGAGAACCAGCTCCCAGAGTACCAGACCATTAGCAAACACAGCCAATCTTGAATGAGGAATAAGACGGGGTTTCCAAAAAAGCAGAGGCAGCAGAGACATGTATGCCGGACAGCATATGGGAGGGGAGACCGACAAGCCAGCCCAAGAAAAGCAAAGGCAGGCAGGAAGAAACGCAAGACCCTGGGTAGGGGGCCCGCACGACTGCTCAGCATGTCATGACCAATCAGACCTCTGTTACGTACAGCCTTGCAAATAACCACTTGCCCAAGGCTAGTGTGTATGTGAATCAAGTTGCTAAAACTGTAACCTTCATTACTTGTGTTCTCTGGAGAACCTACGAGCACAGGAGGGTTTAAAGGTTCTTCCACAACCCCCACCCTGGCAAAGACTTCCACAAGAGGATTACAGCCAGTCTAAAATACACCAGTCACACTAAGTTTTCCAGGACAGGGTTCTGCCATGAGTCTGGAGAGACGGAAGGGGGAGGATTATAGAGAAAACTACAGAGTAAGAAGAGACAGTTTCTGCTCTTAGACTTGTGGGGGAGAGAAGAGACCCTCTGTTCAACACTTAATAATAAACATTACCCAACTCACTCTCTGTGCAAAGCCGGAAAGTGTCAAGTCTTCTGGGGAGAAAAGACCAACGGAGTGATTCTCAAACTCACTCTGCTAGTGGCACCCCAAAGACTGATGTTCTATGAGGAACTGCTTGAACTGCTAACCCATTCTAATAAAATAAAGCACTAATTTTGTGCTAAGACTCAGAGAACACTTCATGTTAGATTCTTGAGCAGCTAAGTAGCAGCAGATAACAATTTTTAAGATAGCAATCATGGAAGAAAACTTCATAGTTGAGAAAATTCCATCGAATTAACCTAGTCATCTCTGTACATTAGGAAGACACCAGCCATCATCCAGTGTGAGAACCAGCTCCCAGAGTACCAGACCATTAGCAAACACAGCCAATCTTGAATGAGGAATAAGACGGGGTTTCCAAAAAAGCAGAGGCAGCAGAGACATGTATGCCGGACAGCATATGGGAGGGGAGACCGACAAGCCAGCCCAAGAAAAGCAAAGGCAGGCAGGAAGAAACGCAAGACCCTGGGTAGGGAGCCCGCACGACTGCTCAGCATGTCATGACCAATCAGACCTCTGTTACGTACAGCCTTGCAAATAACCACTTGCCCAAGGCTAGTGTGTATGTGAATCAAGTTGCTAAAACTGTAACCTTCATTACTTGTGTTCTCTGGAGAACCTACGAGCACAGGAGGGTTTAAAGGACTGCATCCCAATCCAATGTTAGAGCACGCCAACATCCCCATTCCTCCGTCAGAACGCAGTTATCCCCGCCCCTCCGTCAGGGCGCACCATCGGCCCCGTCCTGTCAGAGCGCGCCTCGTCCCTGACACTCCGTCAGGGCGCACCGTCATCCCCCTCCCTCCGTCAGAGCGCACCGTCGTCCCGTCCCTCCGTCAGAGCGCACCGTCGTCCCGTCCCTCTGTCAGAGCGCACCATCGTCCCGTCCCTCCATCAGAGTGCACCGTCAGCCCCGTCCAGTCAGAGCGCGCCCTTGTCCCCGTCCCTCCATCAGGGCGCACCGTCAGCCCCCTCCCTCCGTCAGAGCACACCGTCGTCCCGTCCCTCCGTCAGGACGCACCGTCAGCCCCGTCCAGTCAGAGCGCACCGTCGTCCCCTTCCCTCTGTCAGAGAGCGCTGTTGTCCCTGTCCCAGTCAGAGTGCACCCTCTTCCTGTCCCTGTTAGAACTTGCATCGTCAGTCCCTGTTAGGGCAGGCCACTGCAAAGGGGACGGTGCTCTAAACAGAAGCATCTCAGTGAGTACGTAAGCACTATGAGTACATGACATGGTGTCATAAAAGCAGACACAATTGCTATAAACTTTTGCTATAAAATGACCCTTTAACTAGGACAAGAGCACAGGGGCACTGGACACACGGGCTACTCAAGCAGCCAAAAATGACAAGGAAGCTCACAATTCTACAGCAGTTCAGGGCCACAGAACCTCGGCATCACTCTGCTGATGCCCTGCAGGCCTGTGGGAATCCAGCAAATGAGTCCCCAGATGGCCGCTCCCCGGGGCACAAACCACTCTGTCTAGATGCTAAACAGCTGGTGAGGAACTTTCAGCCTCAGCCCTGCAGAGGCCTCTAAAGGGCTGAGTGAGGCATCTGGGGGCAGGAGGAAGAAGCTGATGCTGCAGAAATTGCCCCCTCAAGCGAGGCCTGAGAAGCACAGCCACAGCTCCCAGCATGGTGAGTGAGGCGGAGCAGAAGCCACTGCTGGATCCTACACCCAAGGAACACCCAGGAGCAGGTAATTCAAGAGCTACAACCTCTCCAGTACTCTCCTGGGTCCCTACCCTCCTACATCTCCATGCAGGCCCCATGGTGGCCCAGCTCCACTTAGCCAGGACTGGAGTGCCAGGGCTGGTGGAGGGGCACAGGGGCACACAGCCACCTTACCTCCAAAGTTGGCCAGCCGCCCAATCCTTGTAACTGGCACCTTCCGCTCCCGAGCCCGCTCACTGAGCTAGAGGGAGAGAAGAGAGCCCAGGGTATCAGCAAATGGGGACAGGACCAAACTTCAGGGGTTCATGTGCCCCCGATATCACTTTTCCACCCCGAAAGCAGCAGCTACCTGCCAGCATACTCCACCAAGGGGACTCCATGTCCCTGAAAACTCAGGACCACAGGGGACCAAACACCAGCACCCCCACAAGTGGGGACCATCTGCCCAACTCCAGGGGCCCTTCTGGACGTACCACCTGCTTATAGGGCTTGCTCTCAGGGCGAGCTTTGGCCTGCCGGGCCTTCTCAATATCCTCAGCTGTAAGGCCCCCCATGGGGGTCTGGTCCTGGTGGAAGAGCCTTCGCTGAAGGCCCATGGCCATGAATGGGCCTCTGGGGTCTACAAAAAGCGTCCCTGTCACCCTGCTCAGAGGGGTGGCAGCACGGAGCCCAGCTTCTCTAAAGGGTCCGCTGGCAACATAGGCAGGAGCCGGGCCCTCACTGCGGGCGTGATCCAAGGGCAAGGGAGGCGAATGGTCAGGGGAGGAAGCTTCAGAGAAATGTGTGGAGGGTCCTGAGGCCTGAGGCTCTGAGAAGTGGAGCTCTGCTTCCGGGTCATCGAAGCTCTGGGGGTAAGGCTCCCCTTGCACATCCTGCCCCTGCAGGGAACAAAGGCCAGAGTGAGAGGAGCAGGAGGCCACCAGTAGCTCCTCCACAGGTCCATCCCTTCTGCACAGGGCAGCACACTACCACTGCTCTGCCCTCCCGCCCTCCAGGTGGGACATCACGCACTCCATGGTCCATACAGGCTCCAGAGGCAAGCAGTGCCTTCCAGCCTGAAAGCTAGGAGACCAGGATTTCAGTCCTGCTTCTGTCAGGGCTCCACTCTGCCATCCCAGGCAAGCCACACAGCCACCAAGCACCTGCTGGTGGTCTAGCCATGGCCAGAACGCGACCACCCATCAGGGCAGTAAATTGCTCACCTGTGAATCAAGACTGAGGTGGGGGCCTCCTGGGCTTTGGGAGGGTGCACCAGGGCACAAGACAGGGGGCTGTGAGCAGTAAAGGCATGGCCAGAGACCCATGAGGGGGGCAGCACAGGATGGGGACCCCACCATTGCAGGCCAGCGCCACAGTCAGGGCTTCTGCCAGCCAGCCATGAGTGCTTCTTTAAGGGGCTGTCACCAGACTGGTCTGTCCCTAGGACGAGGGAGTCAGGGCAGACAAGGACAGGGACACACCATGTTTCTTTGTAATAGTCGCTGAGACCCAAACTTCAGCCCAGGTTCTTCTTACTTTTGAACCCTGAGTGACCTAGCATAAGGTCCTGACCCCTCTGCTACTTCCTCATCTGAAAATAGGGCTCCCCACTGCAGATGGGGCCAGAGAACAGTGCTGAAGAGGCCATAATTAAAGCAGCACCAGCTCCTGAGGTAGGGCCCTGGCCTGCATTCCCTGGTGGCCCCTAAATGGCTTCAGCACACACCACACTGCCCACAACTTCTGCAAACCAGGGCCTTCCCACTCTCCACTTCTTAAAACGTTATGAGATCTCTGTGGCATCTTACTACACTGATGGACAGTGACTTCAATGGGGTATGGGGGGACTTGATGATATGGGTGAATGTAGTAACCACATTGCTTTTCATGTGAAACCTTTGTAAGAGTGCATATCAATGATACCTTAATAAAAAAAAAAGATGTTATGAGATCTAAGGAGAAAAGACTTGCCCACAGGGGAGGAAAAGACTGGCTATTAACCTCATTTCATAAATGGGCCACTGAGGCTGAAAGAACTGCAGTGACCTGGGGAAGGCCCAACAGCTGGCCAATGGCAGAGTGGGGAGCCCAAGGCCAGGCTGGCCCTGCTGGCCACTGAAGCCACCTGGCAGCTCTCTTCTCGGAGCAGAAGTAAACTGAGTTTGGATTCGATGGGCACCTCTCACTGGAGTGAGGGTGTCTGGGGCAGGGGTCCCTCCCTCTACCCCATAACTCCCGAGGCAACCCCCTGGCCAGCAAAGGCCGTGACCTGTAATGTGGTTCTGAGGTCCCACAGGCAGCAAATGGGCCTCAGTGGGAGGCCTGCTAAGAATAAATTAACAAACCCTTCAAGTTGCAGGGGGTTGGTTTCTGGGGAATCTGGCCCCCCATCTCCTCAGAGAGGCAGCACCAACCCAAGTACTCCAGCTGGAAACAGGAGCACCACGGAGGCTGTGGGGCACCACCACTCCCTTTCCTGTCTGAGGAACTATGGGGGGTGGCCTTGCCTCTTTCAGAGACCACAGGCCTGTCCAAGGGGGCAGAGGCGCAGAGTAGGAGCCTGGGCAGGGGTCCCCGGCCTCTCAGGGAGGCCTGCCCAGGCCTCGGCACTCCATCCTGGGCAACCTCCCTTCCTGACTGTGTCCCGAGCGAACGTTCAGCAGGAAGGACAGGGCTCCTCAATGGAAAAGGCCGAGTGAGGCAGCCAGGGCCACAAGCCAGTCTTGGCAGAGGGAGGCCAATGGAGTCTCAGACAAGGGAGAGGTTGGGTCCTGTCACTCAATAATCAAAGGACTCACATCCAACTGCTTAGTCTCAGTTTCCCTATCTGAGAAAAGGGGTAAGCATCCAGGCCTGGCCCTCCTGGGGCCAGAGTAAGGCCTGGATGAGATCATGGTGTGAAGATACTTTATCACCACTGGGCCCTTGGAGAGCAGGAGGGGAGGGGCTGAGAATCCTGAAACAGGCTGAGCAGTGGCCCATGGGTGTGATGGACCCAAATGGACAGCATGCACGTCCTTTGTCGAGAAGGCCAGCCAAGCACAGGACAGAAATGGAAGGAGTGAGGCGGCAGGACACCCCCTCTGCGGTACAACCCCCAACACGCACACACACCCTTCCCACCCCGCCAGCCCCAGGGGTGCTGCAGGTGGTTGAACAGGGCAACAGCATGGCAGGGAACCCTAGGGACAAGGATGTCTGGACCACAGCACAAAAGACAGTGTGAGAGATAAGAGGCAGACACTTTTTTCTTTGTGATTCATTTAATTGCCAAAGTTAAAGAGGCCTCTCTTCAGCAACACAGGCCAGACAGCGGGTGCGTCAGCTCTCCAGAGGGCCCTGCAGGATGGGCCGGGTCCCTCCCAGGCTCTGCCCGGTGCCTGACATAGGTACTTGCTTAGTGCCGGTGAATACGGACCTAACAAGTGCGCTGGCCACACACTCCAGGGCTCCCAGCTCTGGGAAGCTCCTATAACTAAACCTGGAGGCACGTGGCAGCCTCACAACCACGAGGCCCCCACCCTGGGGAGGATTTCTCCCGCTCCACACCTCTGCCCCCTTGGACAGGCCCAGTGTCTCCGGAATAGCACACACACATCCCCACCCACCACTGGCTCTCACTGAGAGCTCCCACTGGCCCCTCTCTGCCAGCCCAGTGCCTTACCTGCACCTTGCCCCAGACGATGCCCATCTGCTCTGCAGCCGTGGACTGGAGGGCCCTGGCCACCAGGACAAACTCCCCACTGAGGCCCAAGTGCTGCAGATGGGTTTCCACAGCCGCCTGGGTCAGCTTGACAAGGCCTCGGACCACCATGATGACGTCCCCCAACACGGCAGCCATCCTTCAGGGCTGGAAGACAGCGGGCAAGTAGGGGGTGCTCCACACCTCACATGGGGTATACTCGCCCCACTGATGCTCCCCAGACTCTGGGCAGAAGCGACTGGCCATTTGTTTTTTCACGGGCCTCCCTTTCTGATCCAGGTTGGCCAGAGGAGAGAGAGATGAAGGCCCAGGGCTCAAGTGGCCCCCAGAGCAGAGACGCTGGGCAGAGTGGATTCCGTTGGTCAGGGCTGTGTTCCCAGCACACCTCACCTGGGCCTCACGGCCACCCTCTGACACACCCTTGCCTACAGTCCCTGGCCCGAGTGGCAGAGCCAGGCCTCAAATCCTGGTGTGCTGTTCAGCCTGATGCGTCCCTCCAGCCCAACACTGTAGGTTGGGGAAGAGACATCACTCCCAAAGCAGCTTCCTGGAGGACCCCGGAGCCCAGCCCCCAGCCCCTCAGAGGCTGCCTGTCCCCAGCCACTCCTGCTGTGCCTGACGAAATCCCTGACAGACACCCACAGTCCAGGGGCAGCCAGAGCCCCCTCCCAACCCTCAGGCTCAATTTGCTAAGCCAGTGTTCCCAAACGGCAGTCCAGACCACAGCGCAGCCCATTTGGAAAATACTACCCGGCACTGAAACCAGCAACAGGACCCAGACGGAAGGAAGCACCTGGGCCCACTCTGGGCAGGCCTTTCTTGTGAGGCTTGTTTCTCTCGTGTGCGAGCTCTTCTCCCATCTCAGGGTGGGGTTGGGGGGCAGTCACAGCAGAAAGGGTGCTTCTTAATGTAGGTCAGGGTCAAGAAGCTGCAAGCTCCCCCACCCTCATCCCAGCAGTGCCTGAGGCGTGGGTGAGGGCTGCCCGTCATGTGAGGGCTGCCCATCATGCAAGGGCTTAAGGCCCACGTGGGGCTAGGATGGCCCTGTGGACAAATCGGGACTGAAGAAAAACCACAATGGGAAGGAGCAGCCGAGACCCTGAGCAGCAGGAGGAGCAGGGACGTGCTGAGACTCAGAGGCCTGCCAGACCACCTGGGAGGAGGCCGCAGGAGGTAGCCCGGGCAGGGCGCCCGCGTGAGGCTGAGCAGGGCCAGCAGATGGACGGCTACACGGGCACCTCCTGGGTGCTACCTTGTCTGCATGCTGATTAGCAGAGGCAGGTGGGAACATCAGGCAAGGGTGCTAGCAAGGACCTCTGGCCCAACCCAGGACTTCTCAGGATGGCTCCGCCCGTGCTTCCCAGAGAGCAGCCCCGTCAGTCCCCCGAGTCCTGCAGGGGTCCTAAGCATGGGACCCAGCTTTCATTTAAAAGGAGAACTAGAGTCATGGCTAGAACCCCTGCCTCACTGGAGCCTGGGGAGCTGGGATGCCCTGCGCAGCCTGCCCTTGGATAACCCTCACGTCCGCATGAGAGCAGGCACCAGGCCCTGGACTGGGGAGGCTTACACATTCGGCTCTTCATCTCCATAAACAAGTGAGCACCTCCGTCTCACAAGGAGAAAATCAAAGCCAGGGAGGTAGTAACTGGCAGAGGCAGTTCAGCTCCTGACTGATCTGGTCCCCCCTGCTCTGTGCCCACCACTCCACGATGCCTCCCCACCCACCAACTCCAAGGCACCCCTGCAGGGAGAGGGCACCGATTGGACATAAATGGGCCACCTGCACTTTAGTCAAAGCCAAGAAGGTTCCAGGTGACCATAACCTTGACAGAGACAGGAGATGGGGAAGGGAGCTGGCCCAGCCCACCTGGTGCCATTTCATATCCCGGGCACTGCTCTGGGCTCTGGGCTTTGTGGCAGTAAACAAGGGTGAGCCCCACACACCAAATGCTAGGCACAGGAAGACAGCCCATAATCAGAGCTCAGACAGCTGCCGGTGAGGGCTCAAGAGGCTTCGCAAGGACTCCCCATCATCAGGCCCAGGGGTAGAAGCACCTGACGTCAGGGACAGGCAATTTGGTCAGGACACTTGTTGGTGGCCCCAGGATCATCCACCACACCTCACTGTCCCAGGGGTCCCCAGAAACAGGTCTTCCCCTTGCTCTCCTCTAAATCCAATACAGACAAGCGAGGCCGGAGTCTCCCATAGACCACAAGGCCTGATAATTCCAAAACCTCACCTTACCTGCTGCTATCAAATCATCCTCAGAACTTCTTAAGACCTGTTTATTTCAGACTTTATCAGGCTTAAAACTAATTCTGCCTGAATTTCTCATCCAAGTTACCATAATGATGAACTAAAGTTTCACACCACTGATTTCTTGGCCAATTTTCCCTGGTCTAGCTTGACTGGCCCACTGCCCAATGGGCACTCAGATTGGAAACCCTTTCCAGCCCTCCATGCTGCACCCCATCCTAACTCGGAGTCCAGCACTAACTTCTGGTTTCTAAGCATGTCAGCCCCAAGGCCAGGATTATACCTACTTTATAATGATGCTTTTAAGAAAAATTCACAAAAGGAAAAAAGACTGAATTGACCAAAATTTTTTGAATTTCTACATTTAGGAAATACGAGTAGTAATGGTCTTTTCTGGTATTTTCCTGAATTGCATTTTCCTAACCTTTTTAGTTCACATCTCCTACTTTCAAAATAGCAAATATATAAGTCATCTAAAAAAGTGCACATTAAAAAGTAATTCACTATGCCTTCCTTCCTGCCTAGGCGGTCAGCTGCTCACACCCAGGAACTCCCGATGGACACCAGGTCAGGGAGGAGGATGGCTAGGACCAGCTCCTCTGGAAGGAAGGCCCCACCCACACAGAAATAACATCATGGAAAGTAGCCTTCCTGCTTACTGTGGGGCAACACTTCCTTTTCTCCAAACAACAGAAGTTACTAATAAACACAGTCTGTCATTTATTAGGTTTACAAGTAGATACAAATTTCAAAACCACAGCCTGTGCCCACAGGCCTTGACAAGTATTATTTATCTAATGTGTAGAGGCCAGACCCAGCCACCCCACATGCTGCTCTGCTCAGGACATAGTGGCTCACACCCTAATCAACACCAGGTACTTTTCTGCAAAGCAGTGTCTACCCTCCAAGGAGCAAAGGGTGGAGAGAGGGAAAACTGCCATGAGGAAATAGCTTTCCATAACCTTTCTCGCCTTATGGTTTTCAAAACCGGGTTTCACAAATTCTGCTTCTAATGCACCAGAATCCCAGCATGACTCGGAATTCAGCCATCCCAAATTCTGCAGCCAGCCCACTCCAGGAATGCACAAGGACCAGGCACTCACCTACACAGGGAGGCATTTCCATCATGATATTAAATAAATAAATTCAAAAGCCCCCAATACGTTAAATACACAAATTAACAATCTAATTTGAACCACACTTTCACCTCCAAGTATTAGGGCCCTCACCCAGCCATCTTCATCCTGCTGGTCCTTGAATGGGTTTTGGGGACCTCGCCTAGGAGTACAGGAGTGGAGATTCAGGCTCTCTGACTACTTGGCAGCGTGTGCCCCACAAGGCTGGGTGCCTACCCATTCTCCGAGGAGGAGGGGAAATCTGGAGTGCCGCACGAGTCCGAGTAAAGCAGTGGGAGTGGAGGAACAGACATTCACCTCTGGGGACCACTAGGTACTAGCACCAAAACAAGGGCATGTGGTCATTCCCTGAACACAGGTACACTAGCCTCTCATCCCAGTGCTGTGGGCTAGTCCCTGCTGGTCCCAGGATGTCCTGCCCTTGGCCTCACACTTCCAGCTGCCGTGGCATGCAGGCACATCTAAAATGGGCACAGGTGCTAGGAAGACAGAGGCCCATTGAGGTTGACAGACAAGGTCGGGCACAGAGGAAACAGCTGATCGGCGGGACTCTCTGGGTGGCTCACCCTTTCTGGCCCTAAAGTAAACAAAGGCACTATCTAGAGAGAAAGGGAAGTTGGAGACCACGCAGCTCATCACCCACAGGACAGAGACTGAGGAAGCAGCGCCAGACAAGCTGTGGGAGGAAGTGCACAGACCGACCACATTCATGCCAGAGAACAGACTCGGGGGACCAGAACCAGCAGCTGGAAGTTAGCTGGGGCATGGGGAACCTTCAAATCTGTCCCCAAGTGCCAAAACACCCAAAGTAAAGCCTACCTGGCTGGAAAATGAGCTGTGTTCTTACTAAATCAATAGAGCAGGCAGCCCTGATCTGCAGGCCCCCTAGCCTTTCCCACTCAGGACCTGCCTGGGGGAATCTCACTTGGAAGAGGGCACCCATACACACCCCGAGTCCCTCCTTCACAGCCAGATGCACCATCTGTCATTCATCTCTTCTCACCAGGTGACAGCAGCCCAGGATAGTGTGTGAACCTGCTAAGCCATGGTTCGGTCCCCCGTGATGACAAAATGCCACACAGCAGACCAGCTCCCACCTACGCAAAGCCTTGGCATTTATGTCTCTGAAGCCAGCACCCCCTCCAGTCTCTCCCCACCCTGAGCTGCCCCCAAGCCCTGGGTGGGCTGCTGCTAGGGGCACCAAGTACACTGCTCAGAGGCCCTTTGTCTTGGGGAGTACGCCTGAAGCTCACTGAAAAGCCACTCCAACAGGCTTCATCTGGACGTCTGTCACATGCTTGCCACCCCAATGCCTCACAGCACACCCTTACGCCCCCTCCCTGGGTTCCCCATCCTTAGGCATGCACCTACCACCCACTCCTCTCCAACCCTCCTCACCTCCCTAGTCCACTGGATGCTGCCACCTGGGCAACCCAACAGTCCCCAACTGGCCCCTATGCTCCTACCTGTCTCTCTATTCCTCAAACCATTCCTAGGCATCCTGACTTCTCCGAGATTCCTAAGGGGCTGAAAGACCCAGCGCACCCCTGTCTTGCCAATGGGTTTCAGCCCCGGCCAAGTCCGCTATGGATTCAGTGTGACCAAAGAAATGACAGTAAAATGTTCTTGAGGTGAAAGGGTTATACCCAACTTTATTTCCACAGTGGCAGGTCAATCACTAAAATCCCATTCACTCAGAGTGGGTCTGCATGCAGCAAGCTGGTCTCTGCCTCTGGGCCCATCTGTCCAGGGCA